CGGACTCACACAGCGAAACTGGTGCATTGATTGTGGGTGAGCCAAGAGTGACGAATGTGTATTACAAGGGAAACTTAGGGTATCTCTGTCCATTACCTGGCGCGAAAGCGGAAGCAGAGATGATTGCAAGACTACTACCTGAATCTCACCTTTTAATAGGAGAGCAAGCAACAAAGCAGGCAGTTCTTCAGAGAATAGCCTCAGCGAGTCTCGTGCATTTCTCTGCTCATGGTTATGCCGAAAGAGGAGAAATTGCTCTTGCCCCCCTTAACTCCACAATAGGGATTCCACATGAAGCAGACTACTTACTGTCAATGACCGACATTTCACAAGTTAGACTGTCAGCCAAACTGGTGGTCCTTTGCTGTTCCTGTTCCGCACGTGGGCAGATCAAAACAGAAGGCGTTGTTGGAATCGCTCGAGCATTCTTAGGATCGGGTGCACGCTCGGTGTTGGTGGCATTGTGGGCCTTACAAGACGAAGCAACAGAGCAGTTCATGAGAAGATTCTACGAAAACCTTGTCCAAGGAGAAAGTGCAAGTGAATGTCTTCACCGGGCCATGAAGTGGATGCGGAATAACGGTTTCCCTGAAGTGAGGCAGTGGGCACCTTTCATGCTGATTGGGGATGACGTTTCATTTCACTTTGGTGAAGAAAAGTGAAGGTAATTGCTCTATGATAATTAGGGCCATAGGAAGTCTGCCAGGTCTTTTTGTATTGCAGTTTTATCAACTTGGGTACATTTGGTTCTTTTAAGTACTAAATAGAAATTATTATTTATCCTTAAAAGCCACATTATTGACTACACCTGAAGTCAGCTTTTACTATGACTGAGGTGAAATATCAGTCAACCGCTTTTTAACATCGAAGATACTAAACGCCACAATTATTCGTCCAGACTTCTGTATTTTATCAGTCAAAATTATAACCCATGCATATGTGGGGCTTTGCATTTGAAAACTGAACAAAAAGCTAAAACGCCGTATCGCTACAGTAACACAGAATGATTTTTTAAAACTCTTTTCTCTTTTTCCTGATATATGAGGCACAAATAATTGAAGGTATTCTTTTATTTGCTACCGCTCAATATCAACGTGAGGGTTTGCTGACAAACTGTTTTCTTTCTTAATATAATGGGATGTGAATTCCAGATATGAAACCAAAACAAAAAGCGAAGGTAGTTTTTTGTTAGATATAAAGATAATCGGAATAAAAATGTCATGGCTGAGATCTAGATCTGGGAATTGATCGAAAACACTGAAAACTACAAATTGTAGACTGTGTATGGAGTCTTGACTGGAACTAGAGGGCTTTTCGCGGACACTAACTGAAGTACAGCAGTACACTGGTTCTTAACTTGGACCAAAGAGGGACGACCGAGATTCCAAAGGTCACCAAGGCAAAAAGTTTCAAACCTATTTTAGCTGTTAGCTGTGCACCCTGCTTATCATTTATGATGCCAATAATTGGAAAGTTTTAGCGGTGAGATAAACTTAAATAAGTAGACCTCTTCCGTCACGATAAAGCCGGAGGATCCCTCTTCCATGTAGAATGAACCTAAATGCCACTTACCCCAGCTGGAGTCTTTTGTAATGAATATATGTGTTTTAATAATTTTTTTGTTTCTTATACATTGCTGTTACAGATATTACACTAACGACACACCAGGGAAAAACGAAACAGCCTTTCCTCAGAATTCCAATGAGGTAGTCCCTAGCTGAAAATGTAAAGAATTAATCTCTGCAGCATACGAACAGATCGCAGACTTGAAGAATTAAAAGAGAACTGACTTGCTTGGTCCAGCTGTTCATCTTTGGCGGCTTAATTATTTTTCTCGTTGTTTTTAATTTTTGTTTGTGTGTCTGTGTAGGTACCCTGAGTACTCTGATCTCTTAAACGTCTTGTAAAAGTGTGGGACAATGATGGAACTGTAATCGCTACGCGAATAACGTCAGGATTAGATAATTTCCCTGTCTATTTGCGTAATTTGTTAAGTTACTTCCTTAATTATTCCCTAAGGCTACAACTAAAAAGTACTCTTCCTTTAAAAGGGATTCTTAATCGCAAATTGAAGTTTGATTAAAATGCAAACAGCATTGCAAGGTTTATAGTTTAGTAGAATTGTATATATTTTAGAGCTAATCTTTTTGTGAACATAGAAGTAGTAGTTTTGCAACGGCTTGCATTATGAAATAAGGTTTGACGACTAAATTAAGTCAACTAAAAGCCTAGCGAAAATAACTAGTCCAAACTCCAAACTAGCCATCAGAGTTGTAAACTAAAGGTTCATTGTATAATGTTCATGCCTGAGCATAGCCTAGTATGTTAGTATTGAAGAGTACTACTTGCTTTAAGTATCCAACTAAAATGCAAAAGATTTGGTGGTCCAGTTTTCAGTAGTGCTTTGAGTAGGAAAACTAATTTCTAATTTACTAGGTCGCACATGGAGCATAGGTTTCATTATAATGTGTATTTATTATTCATTCAAAATATTTCCCCAATTCTGATTGGCTAAAAGCACACGCATAATTCACCATAACCAGTTACTGATAACCAAATTTGGAAGAATTTTGTGTTTAACGAGGAAATAACGTAAAAAATGCAGCCTTCTACAGGCTAATGCACCGTTAACCGAGAAGACGTGGGGACGAGATTGAGTTGTTTTCGTTGTGAAAAATAAAATGGCGGACACTTCACTCGTTTCAAGAGTAAGAACTACAGCTGGAACTAGGCGAAATAATGCCTAAAAACATAGCAAAAACAGCAAGAAAACAACTCGGAGGGCGACATCTGCTATTTGGAGAATATTTGCGGAGCTGGAAAAACCTAAACGTACACTATCAAAGATAAACTTAACATCGATGCAGGTAAGCTTGTTTTGGCTATGTTTTTAAACTAGGAATTATTTTGAATGAATAATAAAGCAATTAATGAATTCGGCTTTCGTAGGATATGAAGAATTAAGCAGATCTCGGAGGGTGTTAACACCCTCCTCGATCTGCTTAATTCTTCATATCCTACTCAGCCTCATTCATTAATTGCTAAATATGTAATGTCGCCAGGTTTTTAACTATAAAGCGTATTGGAGATAGCAAATTCAAGGACGGAACTTTTTAGAGCCTTTCGTTGTTAAGACCTCTAGTGTTTATCCTTAATTATCTATTTGCTCTTTAACAAAAAATATTTCCTATAATATCAGAGAGATCTAGAATCACATTCACGTCAAATGGCAACGTCAATTTTTACGTGACCAAGGTATCAGTCTCAAAAAACAAACAAATAAAAGAAAACTCGCTTAAACGAGTCCGTGTGTTTCGGATCGAATTGAAATTTGGAAAGATTGGGTTTTGGAGAGAGGGGAAAACCGGAGCACGAAGAGAAAAACCTCTCGGTAAGGCAGAGAAGCAACAACAAACCTAACCTTTCATATACCTGAAGCATGAAAAAGGTACCCCTTTCGGTCGGAGCCATTATAGAGAGTACCACCCCACCCCACCCCCCGCCCCCGGCCGAGCATGACAAA